TTCCTAACTCATGTTATAATTATCTTTTTAAAATAAGGGATAAATATGAATAAATGCATTAAATAACATTCTAAAAATGAAAATGAACTGAATTTAAACTTCTCAAATAAAAAATTAGGTCTACTAAAGTCTAAATTGAATGGAAGGAGTAAAAAGACAATTTGCTTGTATAATTTTTTTTATATAACCTTATATATTATTTAATAATGGGTATTTTTCACCCGGGGCTTGTGATAATACCTCCTCTATCTCATAATAATAGCCATTTTTTTATTTATAATTTATCCTAAATTTAAGTCTTATTTTTTTTTAGGGGTAATATAAGTAAAAAATATAAATTGTCATCAAATTGTTAATCTAAAAATAAAATCAAAAACCATTTATTATTCTAGGACAGCAAAAGTATATAAATGCATTTATTTAATAACACATGAAAACTGTATAAAAAAATTATACAAAAAGTTATCTACATATCATTAGCCTCCTATTAATTTGTTAAATACTTATTTTGTGTTTAGACTCACAAATCAAAATTTCACACCACTTACAGAATCCATCGTATCAAAAGCCTTTAAAGGTATATTTGGTTCAGTTTCCAAGTGCTTTAGTTTTTTTTTACACTATTCATATTTCATAATTTTAAATTTTCCTTTTAAAAACTTACATTTTTTAACCTTTTTTTTAATTTTAAAGAATCTTAAACAGTAAATTTTGAAAAGTTTCAAATTTTTATTTTTTAAATACTTCATTTTACTCACTTTTATTCTTTCTAAAAACAACTTTTAAATTTTTCCCTCTAATAAAAATTTAAACTTATGAAACATGAATAGTATCAAAAAAGTTCAAGCATTTACAAGGTTCATCAAACATGCTCTAAATCTACTTGTCAAGAGATTGCTAAGTACCTTTGCAATATATATATAATGATTCATGTACGATATTTTACATGTAATAATATATATAATATGACTTTTTTCTATTTTAATTTTAGGTTATACAATAAAAATAATGTTCTCTCATTTCTTAACCCACCTTACTCACATGCCATGTGATCTGAATTCAAAATATGTTACTTCCATTAAAAAGAGACTAATATTGAGTCACTTTAATTGTTAACATGTACAATATAATTTATAAATAATATAATTTACTATTTATATTTTGAAATCTTGTATGATATTATATGCATCCTTTTAATGTCATCTCATATTACATATTATCTAATTTAAAATATTAAGTGGCAATATACTTGTAGCAATATACTTGTAGCATTGCACTATTTCAAGCTAGTAAAAATTATAAAGAAAATAATTAGTATATCCTCTGATTCAACATATTTTTTGACACTCGTCCAATTCAATCCTTAAAATATAATATAAGCATAATTGATTCAATCAATTTCTACATTTTATATGCATGACTGTGTCTTTAAGTTTGTTTGCATTTAATTTTAAACCAAAAAATAATAATTTTTTAATAAGTATATTGTGTAGTGTGTTGAACTGAATAGTGTACTAATTAGTGTTAAAACTATAGAG